AGCGTTATTCTATTGGTGGAGGGCAGAGACAGGGAGGGGAAGGTAGAGTGGACCACAAGGATTGGGGGTGAGTGCTGGCCCAGCATCTCCAAGCTCTGGGCATGTTTGTGATCTTGCTTATAACTGAGCAGTGTGGACTCTCTGTGCTACCTTAGAAGATGCCAGTCCCATTCCACTACCCTATTCCTTTCCCATAGCAGGACCCGTCCCTCTTGCCTAGCCTGGTGGCCTATCTCTGGTCAAAGACTCATAGCTGTATCTGTGTTGCAGCCCTGAGGCACATGCAGAAGGACCCCGACCCCGTGGTCAGCTGCCTCACCACACAGACCCTCTACATCCTGGAAGCCCAGAAGAAGGTGCTGCAGGCCAAGACCACCACTTCCTGCTTCTGCAGGAGGAGGCCCCGGAGGAGGTCTTTTGAGCCTGTGTCACTCACTAGGTTCCTAAAACTGTGACAGCAGGGTCAGACTACTGAGCCCTGCACTAGAAATTATGTGTCCCCAAAGAACTTTGCTAATAAAAGGAGAAAGCATGTACTTTTGTGGAAGTCGATGTCCATTCTTGGCTGTGTGAGGTAAGGCCGTCTGTCCTAAGTGCCTTCTTTGCAATAAATATCTGGGACTAGGCTGGCCTCACCCAGCTCTGCCTCAGTGTGTCCTGTTTCCATTCAGCTGAGTGATCTCAAGCCAGTGCTTGTAGTTTCATGTGAAACAGCTTGAACCAGGAACTGGATGTCAGGACCTGGGAGGGATCTAGAATCCTGTTGTGCTGGGCAGTGTTCTTGATGGGAAGCAATGAAGTCCATTCTTGCTAGTTAAGAAAGTGAGTTGGTGTGGTGGTGCACATCTGTAATCCCAACGGCTCAGGAGGCTGAGGCAGGAGGATCGTGAGTTCAAAGCTCAGCCTCAGCAACTCAGCGAGGCCCTAAGTAACTTAGCAAGCACCTGTCTCAAAATAAAAAAATAAAATAATAAAAAAAAGGACTGAAGATGTGGCTCAGGAATAGGTGCCCTAGGAAAACAGCACTGTGGCTGCACCTTGGCACATCCCAAACCACAGCTCAAGTGACAATGCTCAGGCCTGGGTTCTAGGAGTTGGCCTCTGTTCCTCCAAAGAGCCAGGTGTCCTCCCCTATACCAGGGTGAGCACCTGCTCTCTCTCGCTGCCTGTTAGAGACAGTCTTACCCAGGCCCATCTGACAGAGGCCCTGGAGCATCTCTGGTCTATGTGGGATCATCTACTGCCCCTTCTCCCCCCCCCCCCAGCCAGATTTGCCTATTACCCCTGACTTTCAGTCACTGGGCCCTAGGCAAAATTTATAGGACAATAACACATGTCCTAAAAAATAATAGGTTCCCCATGGACCAAAAAAAAAAAAATTAGGTCCCCCATGCTCTGGCTTGGTTGGTGCCATCCACTGTGGGGCAGAGGCCTGGTTTGCATTGCTTATGTTCTTGCGGTGCCTGGCCTCTGTCACCTGCACCCAAGTCTCCTAGAACACATCATGTTCCCTCTTTGCTCACCCTCTCCACCCCATAGAACTTTCCCACAGCAGCTACAGTCCCTTGGCCAACAATGTCAAGGGTGCCATTAAAGGCCACAAGGTCTCTACTTTTGCCAGAGTCTCTTCTTACTCACTGCCCCTGGCCTGTCCTCTGGCTCCCACATCAGCTGCCCCCACCTTTCATTAGAGTCCTTATCAACTGAACACTTTATAGAAGGAAGTAAATGGGAAATATCACAAGACTCAGAAGCACACCTGCACCCCTTCCTTTGAACCCCAAGGAGCAGTCTTGCTTTGCTGCAACCAATGATAAATGGTAGATGTTATTAAAAAATCTATTAACAGGTCAGGTGTTTTGAGATAAAACTCACTTCCAAGACTGTTCTGACTCCGCCCTTACCCCCCTCACAAATTCCCCTCATTGTAGTCAAACTAAGGGCACAAGGTCATGAATTCTAGGGCCATCTCTGCCCCAGTATGACTTTGGCCAGTCCTAGCAGCGTCTCCGGCCTTAACTTCCCTTCATCTGTAAATTGAGAGAGTTGGGGGAAAAATGACCTTTTAAGATGCCACCCAGTTCAATAAATTTCTCTTATTAAATTCTGAGTAGTGCCATTTCCTTGTCAGGGAAAACTGCCCTGTAGCTTAGATCCTAAATGGAATTTTTCTTGACTCTTTTGTTTTCCAAAATATCTAAAGTAAGCAGATGTTATTTTTATAATCTTGGGGGAAGAGCACCCCACAATTTAAAAAAATTGTTAAAAGGAATCCCTTAACCCTGTCTCCCCCCACCCAAGGACATTGGTGTCCTCAACATAAAGGTGACCTGAGTTTGGAAAAACTTGCTGCCATCCCCGAGGGGAGCTCAATGTCAGCATCTTCATGGGCTCCTGGTCTCCAGGTTTCATTTACACACCCAGCCCCAAACTACCACTCTCAGGAAGCCACCCTGCTTCCCAAAGCAGGAGCTGTGGCCCTCTGGGGGACTGGGGACTTAGGAAAATTCTTCCCACTCGTCTCCTTCCACGGCTCAGGGTCTCCTTTCACTCTCCAGGGGCTTTGTTTGAGAACCAGAGGGTCTTGAAGGAACCCTTTCCTCCCACCTGTGACGATGTGGCCTCTCACAGGCTCCAGGAACTGGCTGGCTCGATCCCGTCCAGCTGTGGGTCTCGATAAGCAGCAAGGATCAAGGACCCGTGCAGGTGGAGGAGGCAACTTGTTTTTATATTTAAGAAAGTAAGCAAAGAGAGGCCCGATTGTCTCCCTGGTGCAGCCATCAGAAAGCAAAGCTTTTAGAGATCTTGCTGGTGATGAAGATGCAGACTCCCCTCAGGGAGCTCTTTGCCTGGAGGATGGGCCAGAATCCCCCCGCTTGATGGAGGGGTGCATAGTTATCAAAGGGGAATGTAATTGTGGCTGGGATGTGGCTCAGTAGTAAAGCATGCGCTTAGGATGCCCGAGGCCCTGGGTTTAATCCCCAGCACCAAAAAAGAAAAAAAGAAAAGGGCAGGACTATAGCTTTTCAAAGATTGAAAAGTACTGATCTAGAAATAAAAACCAACAACCATTGTAGAGCTGTTTTCTAATATGCACTTTTTATATTTCTGTCTTTTCTCCGTAAGTGGCAAGGTGATGATGTGTCTGGTCTCTACCGCACACTGTGAATTCCAGGCCCTAGAGAAGGTACACAGAACATTAAAGTAAATGGGGGCTGTGCTTGGGCAGGGCTGGTTCAAATCTCGACTCTGTCCTAATTAGCTACGAGCCTGGATATGTCACCTTCTTCTGGGACACTTCTCATTTCATAAAATGAGAATATCACCTCTCACGTGGAGTAGTGAAAATCCACAAAAAAATGTCCTGAACAGTGCCTGGAATACAGTAGGTGCTTCATAGATGCTGGTGCCTGCTCTTCCACCAACTGCACCTGCCCCAGCCCTGGGAGGCAATGTATGGAGTCTGGAGAGGTATGTGATACCCTCAAAGCTCTGCCTCCTACTTAGGGAAGCCCCAAACTCTCAGCCCAAGAAGTTCTCATCAGATTAGGCCTGTGCCCAGAGACCAGCCCACCACCAACTTCTCAAGAGAAGGCCCACAGCCAAAGGTGAGCAGCCCTCAGGGACCACACCTCCACAGACACGGGTCGTTGGGGTTTTATTTATGACAACTTCTTAGAACACACACATGATCTAGGAACAGAAATGTACAGCATGAGGCTTAAATAACTTTCATACATTATGTACAGTCTCAGCAGAGGTACAAAACATATATATATATACACCTTGTGCTCGTCACATCGCAGAGCCAAACAAGACCCTGCAGCCTGGGTCAGAGTGATGGCTAGGAAAGAGCTGGTGTCAGGGCAGGACCCTGATTCACTTCAGGGGTCTTCTCTGACTCTCTGCTCTTCATCAAACAGTTTTTACTTCCCTCTTCCTGGCAAGGCCCTAGGGACACAGGTTTAAAGGACTGAACTAAGGTGTGGTGGGGGCTGAGGGATCATTTGGGTGTTGGAGACAGAGGGAGGTAGACATAAGGGACAGAACAAAGGTGCCAGAGAAGAAACAGAACTTTCCCTGCAGATTTTGTTCTTATACATAAGAGGGCCATGACAGTTTGAGAGCTGGGAGAGGAGGCCCAGGCTCAGGAAGGCCTGTGGGGGACACTGGCCATTGATGAGGAGGAGGAGGCTATACCCAGCAAAGAAGGCAACAAGCAGTTTCTTGTTTGAGATGGCAAAGGGATAGAAGCCACAGGTTTGGGCCACACAGTGGGAAGGAATTCACCATTCCTGCAGGGCAGGCCCTGCCCATACAAACATACCAGGCACAGGCAGGGTCCAGACAGCCAGAGGGGTGTGCCTGCACCCAGCCCAGACTCCATCAGGAACTGCCCCACCAGGAGCCGGGACTGGGGGTGTGGGGGCAGGGCAAAGAGACATCTCCCTTGACTTCACAGGGCCGCCTGCCTCTGTGCCCACCACACTGGGGAGCACAAGAAAATTCCAGCCACTCAGGGTCTTCCTTACGGTGGGTTTGTGCTTTCAACTGCCCTCTGCCAAAGCCACAGGGCCCCAGGTGGGCAACAGGGCTGGACCACTCAAGGTGGAGTTTCCAAGGCTGCAGCTGGGGCAAGGGTGGGTGGGCTGGAGGCCACTCCCAGAGCCACAGCTGTCCCTTCCCAAGCGGCTGGTGGTACCCCTGACCACCAGGCTTGTCTGGGCTAGCCTCCGCCTTCTTGTCCACCTCCCTCCTTGGCAATCTCCCATGGAGCTCCAGGTGCGACCCTGGAGGATTCTGGCCGCTTCAGAGGGGCCAAGTCACTAGAGTAAAATCAAATACTAACTGGCTAATACTGAGAATGAGGTCCTGACACAGGACTGTGCTGAGAGGGCCCGCAGGCAGCGGGGATGGAGGACACCATCCTCCTGGGTGGAAGCCAATCCACTTCAAAAGCAAGGACAGGGGCTCAACCCAGGAGGCAGGGAGTCTGTGGGGACAAGGGAGGGCTCTACTCCCTGGGCCCACAACATACAGATGTGGCCTGGGCTCAGGCCTTAGGATGGGCACAAGAAGTAAAATGACGATTACAAGCCAAGACCTAGCTTCAGCAAGGGCAGCCAGCAATTCTAGACACGGGCACCCTTAGTATAACAGGGGACAAGGTCAACCTGGGGGGAGCCTCCCAGGCCCAGGACTGTGCACACTGCCCGTGAGAACCCTGCCATTGTGCTTAAATCACAACCAGTTTGTGCTTCCAACTCTGGATGCTTGTGCAGTGACCGGGGACTTGCCCCCTGACTATGGACCTCTGGAAAGAGTGGGTGACTCCAACGCTCGTAGAGCACAGGTCCGGGCGGCTCAGAGACGACTGGCTCAGGGCTCCCAAAGGACTTCAAGTTTAGAGTCAATGACACTGGCCGGGACAGCAGAGCCGGCCCCGCTGTGAGGTAGTGACCCATCAGGAATGGCGAAGAGCGGGCCATGTTGATGAGCACCTCTCGCAGGGCCGTGAGACCACAACTCGGACAGGCCTTGCAGCTACAGTACAGTCACCTGGGCTGGGTGGCCCCACGATGGGGCCTCCCTGGCCCATGGGGGCAGGGGAGGGGGCACAAGTCTCCACGTGTTTCTGTGGTTGTAAACGGTCATGCGGACGAGTTTGAAGGTCGAAGCTCTCTGTTCAGGCGGGGAGGGGTGGACGGGGAGGGGGAGACTTGTGGTCACTTCTGAGTGCAAAGGGAGCTAGCCAGCACTCCAGGGATGGAAAGAGAAAGAAGGACTTCCAGTCGAAGCAGACAGACTGTCCAGGTTCCAGGAGATGAGCATGCTCACCCAGACTCAATGCCATGTCCAGCAGGGGCCGCCAACAAGCAGGACGGCCTCCTTAGCCTCTGGGGTGGCTCTGAGGAGGGCTCAGGGAGGGTGGCAGGCCTCAGCTTTCACTGGGGCCTCACCCTGCCCACCAGGGCCCACGTGGAGCAGACTCCAACAGCCCCAGCCACAGACGGAGAGGAGCTCAGGACAGAAACATCGCGCCATTAACTGGGAAGTCCATAAGTCACCATGTCCTCCGAACGGAGCTGGGAATCCTGGCTTCCAGACTGGGGCCGGTCAGCACCAGACCAGTGAAGCCACGGAAAACAATGTGGACAGGCTTGGGGAGAAGCCAGGAGTGAGGGACGGAGCTGGCCCCTCCCATTCCTGTGAATTCAGAGTGGGTCCAACAGGGGGCGTCAGAACACTGGTTTGGCCCCCTCCCTGGAGCCCCAGGGGAGGGAGCAGCTCAGTGAACTAACTGCCATCTGACCTCCAATCTCTAGGGAGGCCCAGGCCCCGTGCCGCTTTTAAGGCTTGAGAATGTGCCTCCTGATAACCAGAAGGACAGAAGCTGAAAAGACCCCTTGTCCTATTCAGGGGTGAAACGATAGGTTGATTGGGAGGGAGGGGCAAGGTGCTAGGCAGTCCTCACCACCCAAGCAGCTTCCCAGTGGACAGGGCCACCAAGCTGCTTCCTATGTGACCATGTGGGAGTCCGGGGAGCAGGGCTCCCGAGCCCTGGGCTGTGTGGGGTGAGCTCCCCCGCCTTCCAGGGGTGGTGGACATGAGACCCCTTGAGTAGAAGACACATGTGGCGCAGCGGGCATGGTTGGCGTAAGGCTGCCCAGCACGAGGGCCAGGCCCCGGGGCGAAGGAAGGCACTGAAGCTCAGGCGGCCCAGAGGCCAGGGGGGCACTAGAAGCATCCCCAGGGACAGAGCTGGGGATAGGTCAGGGCTGCAAAGAGTGGCAGAGGGCATTTCTCTCCTTTGCAAAGCAAACAGAGGAGGTGGCCCTGGAGTGCTGGGGAGCAAAGTCCCTAAAGCTGAGGGAAAGAATGTGTGGGAAGGAACTTCAAGTCGGTTTCCAGGAGGCAACAGCAAAAAATAAAAAAAATAATAAGTTAAAAAAATGAAGTATTCCTGACCATCTCCTCAAAGGAATCTTTCTAGTAGCTCCACCTTGGCCCCCATCAGAATGGGACTCCAGGGAATGGTTCAGGCCCACTGGGACTAGATGTTGTTGGCCACAGGGTTCAAGGTCAGCTGCAAGGCCTAGCTGCCTACACCTGGTTTCCATGGTTACCTGAGGACTACCTGGTTGGGCTCAGAGGCAGGTGAAGTGGTACAGAGGCTGAGCTGGGCGCTCATCAGAGGGGCATGATGGGCAGAAGCTGCTTCCCCTCCCCTACAGGTCCCACCCTGGACCAATGGCCTGCAGCAGGGCTAGCTCAGCAGGAGACCGTGAGGCCAGATGGAGGGAACCCCAGGGGACTTCCAGGGGAGAGAGAAGAGGGGTAATGCCCTTTGGCTTCACAGCTTGATTTCCTCTCCAACTTCTTTCACCAGGAGGCTCCTAAGAGTCGGGGAGGAACGGAGGTGATAGTATCCTATGGCCGAGGGAGAGGAAGTGGAACAGGAGAGGGGCCACACCCTCTGTCCCCAGTGCCGCTAGCCAGTCTGGTCAGGCCACAGCTTCCCTTCCATGCAGTGAAGGCTGCTGGGGTTGAGGGTCCAGGCATGCCCTGACCTAACTCCTAGGGTTGGCCGCTGGTAACCGCCGTATGCTCCAGAACTTCACCGTCAGGTCACTGGGAGAAGGACAGAGAGGGGGCTGGTCAGCTCCCGGAGTGGGCCCAGCTGGCTGCTGATTCCCCCACTCCCCACGTGTGGCCAGGACTGGGGGGTAGGCACTGCCCAGGAGGAGGGCGGACCACAGGGTGGAGGAGCGCTGGGCGAGGGAGGCGCCTGGGGTCTCAAAGGCCCTGGGGGACTGTCATCCTGGGCTTTCCTTTCTGTTACTCTTCTGTTTGTCCACCTGAACGCTCCCTCCCTGCTCTCTGCTACCTGGCATCCCTCTCCTGGGACTCTGTTCATGCTGGGAGGAGGAAGGCGGGTGGAGAGGGGCAGGTGGAGCAATCTCTCTGGGCCAGGCAGGACAGGAAGGGACAGTAAGGAAGAAGAGTAAAATGATCTCATACCGTGAAGAAGCAGCTCAGACCGAAGAGGGGAAAAGACAGGGAAAAAGGAAAGAGGGGAAGAACGAGAGAGGAGACCGGGGAGAGGGGGAGGGTCAGGGCAGGGTGGTGGCGCGGCCCTTTATGGCCAGGACTCGGCGAGGAAGGCAGGGGGTGAGTCCAGGGACGTAATTCCACAACTTTACCCGGCAGTCACTGTTGGGGGAAAGAGTTGGAGAGGCAGAAAGGAGAGGCAGGAGGACACAGGAAGGGGAGAGGGAGAGAAGGGACATGGTCGGAACGAGAAGGAAAAAGAAGAAACCCGTCTGAGGTGTACCCCTGGGGCCACGGGCCTGGGTGCTGCCTGCGCAGGGGACCGGGGCTGGGGCTGGAGGGAGCTGTGGTCTGGGCTGGCAGGCCTGCTCTGCAGTCTGAGAGCCACCTAGATGGGGCGGAGACTGCTGGTGGCACTGCTGTGTGAGGACAGGAAGAGCATGGAGACAGGTGGGCAAGTCCCGGCCCTGGACTCAGGGGCTCCCTGACCCTTGCCTGGTGCAGCCCCTGGCACATAGGCACTCAGTGAAGGCTGGCACCAGCTGGGATAGACAGGAGGGTGCCCTGGGGTCTGTTCTATGAACCGAGTCTTCAGGAAAGCTGTGTGGCCCTGAGCCTCCCAGCTGTCCTTCCCACACCAGGGAGAGGGACGTGTACAAAGGCAGCCCTCTCTGTCCAGCACCTACCTGGAGGCTGTAAAGATGTGCTTAGTGTTGGTACAGATGGCATTGATGGGGCTGTCGTGGCCCTTGATCTCACCAATGGGCGTGAAGTTGTCCACGTTCCAGACTTTGATGACGCCCGCGCGGCAGGCGCTCAGCAGCATGGGGCGGCCTGGGACGAAGGCCAGGGCACACACCCAGTCCTTGTGGGCATTGGGGATTTGCTGCGGGAGGATCAGGGCTGGTGAGGGCTGGGGGAGGTGAGGAGGCAGGGAAAGACATACCCTGGGGCCCCAGGAGCACACGCCCCTCCTGCCAGGGACAGAGGGCTGCCACCAGGTTCCCCTGGTCTCCACGGCCGCCCCGCAGATGGGCTTCATCAGTCTTAGGCACTGGGCAGGGCTGGTTATGCTGAGGGCTTCAGAAGCCCTGATATGGGTCCTTCTGCCCTGGCTCCCAGGTTCAAATCTAAGATCTTCCCTGAAGGAGAAACCTTGTGCCCTCAGAAAGGTCAGGCTCAAACAGAAAGGCTCCCAGGGGAGGGAATCTGGAGACTGAGCTTCACATTCAAACCTAAGGGCTGACCAGAAAGACTTTGCTGAGAGCAGGGGCCCAAGGTGAGACGTGGGATCAGGAGAGGCTGGAGGGGGTTGGGGGGACAAACATGGAAGCGGGTGGGGAACAGGCAGACTAGGGGAGCTCTGCCTGGGGCACTGGCCCTGGCCACCCTCTCCTCCCCTCCGCCCACACCTGAATGAGCTCCTGCTGCTCCAGGTCCCACTTCTTGATGCCGTTGTCACGGGAGCCACTGAACAGGATGTCTCCCTGGATGGCCAGGCACTCGATGCCATCGTAGTGCGGGGGCTCAAAGTTATGAGTGGGGCCAATGGTACCTGTCACACACTCGCCGAGCTGGAACATCTTGGGGAGGAGGGGAGGGATGGGAGAGCCCCAGAGGGGCAGGGGTAGGAGGTTGGCATGGGGAGGCCAGGACCCAGGCACTGCTGTGGAGAAATTCCCCACAGTCCTTCCCCCCGCCCCCCGTCTCTCTTAGATATGCTTCTTTCCAGCTTCTGACCATATCCAACTGCATATTCAGAGAGCAAACCAAATTAGTTGCTTGTATGCTCTGTGATTCTTCTTCCTATTGATCATTTTAATAGCCATATTGCATCCTGATCAGGGGATTTTTCCACCTGTCCTTAGACATTTGGGCTGTTTCTAAATTGTTCAGCACTTAGAAAATAATGCTGCAGCTTTATTAATTAATAATGCATTAATTTTAATGAATTAATAATGCTGAAACTTTCTGCACACCTTCCTGCCTTCTTTGGGGTGCTTTCTTTAGCATAAATCCCCAGAAGTCTCCTTACTTTTCATGAAGACTCCCAAGACAACCGGGGGCAAAGGTGAAAGAAAGTGGTAGAAACACCCAGAATACCCCAGCCGGGTCTTGGAGCAGAGGCAGCTCAGATACCTTGACGTAGTGGTCCTTGGAGCCAGTCACCACCAGGTCATGCTGGCTGGCAGTCTGGGTGACCGTCAGGCACATCACGGGGCCAATGTGTCCAGTCAGCTTGCCAATGGGTTGGAACCTGCAGCAGGGAGGGGCCCAGCCAAGAGCAGTGGGTTAGATGGGACCCTGCGTCAGGGTGGGGTCTGCCCTGAGACAAACAGGCCTGGCTAGGGTACCCTCCCCTCCTCCTCCAAGCAAGATCAAGAACCTGGACATATGCTGCCGTGGGACCCAGGGATTTCAGAAGAGGGGACACAGCTCAGCAGCATGTAGGACTGGGGGCCCAACTGAGGTCCTGCCCACCTTAGGGCTGGTCATCCCAAGCTCCTTGGGGCCATGCCAAGCTTCTTCCCCAGGCAGCTCACTGACCTGCTGAGCTCCCAGATGCGGACGGCATTGCCTGCGGCCACATACAGCATGGTGCCAGAGGGGCTGAGGGCCATCTGGTTGATCTGGTGCTCCCCCTGGGCACTGGTGATGGCCCGGGTTGAAGTGGCAGCACAGGCGTCACCTGAGATCACCTGGCCTGAGGACCTGCCCAGGAGGAAAGAGAGGCCAGGCTAGAGATCAAAACAGTCCATCCATGCAGGCCAGGAAACTAATAAAAGCTCCCTTAGACCGGCCAGGATAACGGGCTTCTTCCAGGAAGCCTGATGAGGACTGGCAGAGATGAACAAATTTCCCTAGAAGTGGGACCAAGGGGAGAATGCCACGCCAGCCCCAGCTGAGCCTCTGTATTAAAGTACACCAGCCGCCTTGGGAAGACTGCAAGATGGAGGCAGAGGACTGGGTTTGAACCTGGGCCTTGTGGAAATCCCTCAAATCCCACCCTACCACCACTTCCTCATCTGTGAAAAGAGGCCATGATACCCCTTCAGTTAACTTTTCTCCTAAGACTTCTTTTTTATTTTTAAAAGAAAAAAGGCTTGTAGCAAAAACGGAATGGAATGGAAGATACAGAGATTTCCCATACACCTCCTTCCCCGCAACATGCACAGCCCCCTCCCCCCTTCCCCCCATTATCAACAGCCCACATCAGAGTGGATCAACGTTGACGTATCATCACCCAAGTCCATCACATACGTTGGGGTTCATTCTTAATGTTGTACATTCTGTGGGTTTATCTCCCACTATAGAATCACAGAGAATACTTTCACTGCCCTAAAATCCTCTGTTAACTTTTTAAGGATCAAATTAAATAACAGACTTGGGTTTACAATGTACATAAAAGGACAAAATATGATTTTTATGGTGCTCATCTGGCTCAGTCTCCCCTGTGTCTGCTTGGGGCTGTCAGGGCCAGGCCTCAACACCATGCCTGTGGCCATCTACCCTCACAGGTGGCTGGCCTGGCTTTGAAGGCTGCTGCCATCTGCTGGTCTCACCCTGTTTCCAGATTCCTCAGATTCCTATGTTTATATCCCTCGTGTCTCAAAGGACAGGGCTTGGGGATTGGGGCAAAGGTGGGATCCAGGCAGGCCAAAGGCTCACCAATCTTCTGCCCCAGAAACTTGGTTTGTCCCCCAAACCAAGAGATCTCATCTTGTTCCCCAGAGTCAAGCCAAGTCCAAGGGCAGTAAGGGCCTTTGTGTCCACATGGCCAGTTTGGGCTGTGTTCAGTGGATCACCTGGGCTGGAAAGAACTATTAGCAGCCCGGTTTGCTGCAGCCCAATACTGGAGGGCAGACGGAGGGACTTACGTGAGAGTCCGAATGCACTTGGCTGAGTCCCGGATGTCCCACACCTTGATGTAGGAGGTGGACACGGAGAATACCAGCCCCGAGTGGCTGCAGTACTTGATGGAGACCACATTGTTGGGATGGCCCTTTAGAGCTGCGATCTCCTGCCCCGTTACCAGGTTCCACATCTTGCAGCTTCGGTCTGTGGGAGAGAGGAGGAGACAGGAGGAGAGGAGTGATGTAAGCCATGGGAAGAGGGTGGGGGGTGGGGGGCCAGGCAGCTCTCCTGCACTGGCCTGTCAAGGGAAGGGTCAGAGGGATCTGGAGGAAGTCTGACAGAAAGAAAAACAGACACATGCTTATGTACATGTGCATGTGCTCGAGAAAAACTCAGGGGAAAGAAGTTGGCGAGAGCTTTAAAACAGGGCTAGTCCAAGGTATCCTGAGCTAAAACAAAACTCCTAAGCCTTTGGTGCCTATTCCTACAGAGGCCGACACTGCCTAAATGAATAAGGAAAACTTGAAAAATATAGGAAAACTTGAAAGACAATCAATCATACTCTATTGCTACCTCCTTCCTGCTGTGGATGCACATATTTGTATATGTACACATGCCTGTGTTTCTATTACGCTCGCACGCATGCACGCACACACGTCTACTACAGATGTGTACTTTCTGCTAGTCAAATTTCTGTGCTGTTGTGACTTAGAAGCATGAGTCTGTGGGGCTCTGCTGCTGAGATCAGAGGACTGGCTTAGCTACGGATGACGGGTGATGTCTGGAGAGTGGTGGTGTTGGAGGACCAAGATGTGCCCATAGGTTGGACACCTGAGAAGCTTCTTGAAGTTTCTAAGGAAGATCTGGAAGACAGTGCTAGGTAGAGTCAGCAAGGCCAGCTGCATGGAATGGGAGCCTTGAGCCAAGGCAAGGGATACAGTGGTAAGCAAGTTGACCTCAGAGCCTCAGCTCATGGGAGCTTTGTGTTCTTGTCTCCTTCATGGCTCACTCTGGCAAAGGAAGGGTGGGTGGGGGACCCTAACCCTATCTGGCCAGCCAGAGTTCCACTTACCTTTGGACCCTGTGAAAAGCAACTCGTCTGTGGCGTCCAGGCAGAGGATGGGCTTGGTGTGACCCTCGGCCACAGACACACACTGCAGCGGGGCTGTCCGCGCACCCTTAGCTCCTCCAACGGGGGTGATGATGCCCCTTCCCGGGAGAGAGGGAGAAAGGACGTGTCTGTCAGCCGGGGATACTATAGCTAGGCTGATCAAGGTACATGGGGGAGGTGGGGTCAGGGCAGGGAGGAGATGAGGGCCTAATGACAGACTCCAGGATCTTCAGCCAAACTCCACCAAGGTCCGAGAGCAGAGAAGGGCTGCGCAGGGCAGCAGGGACCATCTGGTAGAGTAACAGCCAGTCACCAGCCTGAACAATTCTGGGGGGGGCAAATCCCATGCTAGGCCCCTCTGGAAGGAGCAGAAGCATGGGCCCTGCCCTCAGTGTCCCCATCTGATGCTGTCTGATCCAGACCCTGAGACATAAGAGCAGTCAGGCCCTAGGCGGGCAGGGCAAAGGCCCATGTGCTGGAAATGACCCTTGCAGCTCCCAACACAGTCTCCATGCTGCTTCAGTTATGCAGTGTGAGGGGAAGGGAGCAGAGAGGGAGGAGCCAGGCCACCACCCTCCCAGGCGCCCTGCACAACTTCCATTTGCTAGTGAGAGCCTCCGGGCTGGCACCTCCCAACCAGTGAGGCTCACCGGCTCACGCCCATGCACACCCACCCACACAGGGGCCCCTGCTGGACCAGCATGGGCAGGTCTGCGTCTGTCATTTACAAAGGGATAAATCCCTGTAGGGACCCCAGTTGAGCTCGGGGTTAGGGATATTTGTGGCCTCTCTAGAAGGAGGCTATATGGATCTGGAATGGCACCTCCTTGCCCTGAGAGGGGACCAGGCAGAGGCCAGTGAGCGTGAGGGTTTGGCTATACCAGGCTCCTGGGGGCTCTGAGGATGATTTTTATTTCCTTAGTGAGGGCCTTTTGGCTGAGTTATAACTGGAAATATATTCTAGTTCTTTTTTAAGGAGAATGCTGCTCCTGACATCGACACTGTGGCCAAGGGTTTACTGAAATGACCAATGTTCTATCCTAACAGCGCTTCTGGAACAGCCCCTGTGGACTTGGTCACGCCCTCCCTCCAGGACCAGTGCTTGGACACAGCCAGCTGCCAGCCAGGCACAAGCACAATAGCTCCCCAGGATGCTCCTGCTCCCCACTTATGACACTGGTGTGGGCCGAGTTAGCCAGTTGTGGAAACTGGTGAAAGGAGAGTCCTCCCTATAGTGAGAGGCTGGCTGTCCAGGCCAGCAGTTCCTGGGGGAAAAGCAAACTAACAAAGGTCGACACCAGGGCTGGAGAGTGGATCGGAGCCCTTCACTTGCTGGGGGCTCAGGCCCTCCAGGTCCTGAGACTCGCTCCGTGTTATGGGGTGTTGTGCTGGGTTGCCGGGGAAACAGCCTCTGGTCGTCCCACAGGTCGAGGTGGCAGGAGGCACCTGCACATCTGCACACCAAGAGATGTGGGCCCTCCTTGGTGCTCCCCACCTCCCCGCCGAGCCAACGTCTGAAGGGCTCCCCTACTGGCATAAGCTAAGTCACAAGGATTTTAAGCACAGCCACCGGAGCCACCAACACCCATGAAAAGAACAGCAGCCCAGCTGCGGCGCCCACGGCCTTTCCCCTGCCCTCCGTCCCTTAGCAGCTCAGCTCCGGCCCCAACCACTCCAGGCTTCCATGCTCTGCCCCTCCCTGCTCAGGCCAGGAGGGAGAAGAGAACAGGGTGGGCCACAAGCAACCGCACCCCCTCCCCAAGCCCCCAGCTCCAGCCAGGCCCGGCACAGTCAGAGGCCACGGGGCCACCTTGAGAGAGAGGAACCATGGGGCAGGAAGAAGTCTCAGGAGGGACATGGCGGAGGGGAGGCAGGGTTCTGGGAGAGGAGGGGCTGCATGCTGAGGACAGGTGTGCAGGCGGGAGGGGCCGGTGCAGCGAGAGGCAGAAATGAGAGAAGAGAGCCAGAGGGGACCAAACACAAGAGACTTTCTGTGTGTACCTCAGGACCTCCGACAAAGAGGAGTCGCTGTCATCAGACCTGGGGAGGGCAGAAAATTAGCTGGATTAGGGGAGAGAGGAAAACACACACAGGAATGGCAGAGGTGGCGGCAGCAGCGGCAGGAAGGTCAGGGGGCAGTTATTCTCTTGGAGGGGGTGAGAGAGGCAGAGGAGGAGAGCCTTCAGGGAGAGCAGGGAAGGAGGCAGGGATAGGCTGGCCTGGGAGCCAAGGCTCCCCCAGGAGCGGGCCACCAGAGAGTCCCTCAGCTTGCCGGGTGGGAGTGAGAGGGGCCACAGGAGACGGGAGGCCAGTTTCCCACTTGGGGAAGTGGTTCCCGGCTCTTTGCTGGTTCCAAGCTCTCTGGCTGCTTCACTGCACAAGCTGGGGACACCTGTCCCACCTCAGTGATCCTGTACCCACCAGGGCCAGAGGAAGCCATGGTTGCTTCCACCTCTGTCTAGGAGCTAGCTTCTTCCAGCAACTCCTCAGGACTCACTCACATTTACAAAGCCCACTGTCCCCAGGGAGCCAAGTGGGACCATGCCGAGAGGATGGCTTTATATCACACACGGATCCCAAGACTGGAACCACTGGATTGAACCTAGGCCCCCAAAAGACCACCACACCAGGAGGGTCAGCATCCCATCCCAGCTCTTGCAAAAAAGAGCCAGTCCAGATGGCCATAATGGCACATAGGAGGGGTGCTCCTGATGGGGGAGGGCCAGCAACTCCCACAACAGTAGCCCAAGCTGAGGCAGGTTTGGGGAAGGAAGGTACACCCGGGGTACTGGGTCTGAACCCCAGAGTCAGCATTCAGGGAGCAGCATTTTGGCCCAGGAAGTAGTGTTTCTGCAGGGAGGGGGACAGGGTGGACATCACGATCGAGGATAAGCATTTTCTAACGTGGGCTCCCCTGAGAGACATGATATCATTGTCCCTTGCACTACAGAAGTTTTTAGGGAGCATAGAGAGGAACACAGGGACAATGGGGCTCTCCCTGTTAGGGGTACCAGGCTGGTGGGAATTAAAAGTTCCAGCTTGGACCCTGTTTAGTCACTTTCTAGGACTGGGCCCCCTTCCTCCTACATGAAACAGGGAAGACGGTTCTCAGGGTTGATTGACAGTTCCAATGAATCACGGATGGGAGAGCCGGCAGTAAAGCAAGGTGAGCACCTTCTGGATGCAGGGATTGCGGTTAACACACATTACACTACGAGCAATTAGTGCTACAACAGGAGCTGTGAGGACGGGTGAGCGGAGCCCTTCATGTGAAGGTAACTCAAGGTCGTATCTGCGGTTAGGGTACTGGTTGGTCGGTTAGGGTACTGGTTGAAGCTGAAGGAAGGGGCTTCAGAGAAAAGCAAAGAATCAGCTGAGGCAGATGGAAAGGGCAGTTCTGGGGAGCCCTCTGGTGTGCCAGCCCCACTGGCCAGCACCTCCTCACTGCCCCAGCCCCCATCCCAGTGGCTTCCTTCCTGCCCTCTCCTGAGGTCCAGCATGCTCCGGGAAGGGAAGGGCCTATAGTCAGTACAGAAAGGATAGGGAGTGTCAGGGCCTCCTGGCTCAGAGGCCAAAATCTTAGGCATGGGGTCTGCCCGGCTCTTCCTGCCTGTCTCCAGCAAGGCCCAGCCCTCAGGCTCCCTGCTCCTCCTCTGTGCCCTCCCAGTCTTGCCCCTGAGCCCTGCTCTTACTTGTCCAGTGCTGACCCCTGGCTCTGATTACTGGTGAGACGAGAGAAGACGTTGCGGTCATTGCGGGGCCGGGTGGGAGGGGAAGATGGAGGCGTGAATCCCACATCTGTGGACCTGGTGAGCAGGGACAGAGAGCGGCATCTGTGAGTGACCACCCTTGCCCACAGGCCACCCCCAGAGCTGGGTTTCCACCTTGTCTCAGAGCTGAGTCCCCACCCAGGTTCCTAGGTACTACTCTTCAAAATCCATTATCCTGGGACTTTCAGTGCAGTGAGAAAATTTGTCACTTAAAGATTCATGTTCCTAGCTGAGCTTGTTTCAGCTCTGACACTGGAACAAGTGTCCTGTTCATCAATTATTTAGATCCATGGGATTTTTTTTAAACATTTTTGTGTGTTTTGATGATGATGATTTCAATTTTTTAAAATGGTCCCCAAGCATAGTACCAAAGTGCTGTCTGGTTCCTAAGCTATAAGCAGGCTGGGAAGTGCCTTATGGTTTAAAAATCTGTGGGTGCTGTGCTTGTGAGTGCAATGCTAATTGTCAACAAGGTATATTAAACAAGGTGTCTTGAAGTAGAAGCACACATAAAATAAGGTAATGTGCTGCTCGGCCACTGAAAATGTCATGAGCCGAGGCTCGCAGAAACCATACCCTCCATCTCCTTGGGGACCAGTGGCTCCTTACTTGCACAGTGCTCACTGCGACTTCACAGGACATAATAACCACCATGAATGATGATAGCTGACCATACCTCCAAGGGAGACCAGGATGTCATTACACAGCCCATTCCAATACCCCAGGATCCCTCTTCTTGGGAAGTTATCATTGGGTTCTGCCTAAACCTTTTCCCAAGGACCCACAGCCATGATACAGGGCTCTCTGGAGAGCCGTTGTGACTTTGCCTTAAATCCTGACTGCACTTAAAAATGTTCTCTCAGTTTAGAGATAAAGTGACAGGTTGTAAAGCTTCAAGTACACAGACCATTCTCTGACAAGGCCACTTTGCAAGTCCCTAACGGGGGCTTCTGCAAAGGCTTTGGAGAAGGGAGAGCTGAGACCTTGAGTAGGTCCCCCTTCTGCCTCTCACAAAAACAGGTAGCAAAAGATCAAACTGAGCTAGCTTTCCCACTATTTAGCCATGTGACCAGGGGAAGGCCACCAAACCTCAGAAAATGAAGTATGCAAATAGAGGACCCCAACAGTCCTTCTGCAATTTCAGAAGCTCTGGAGGGCCTGGCCCATGTGCATCTGAGCATCTGGAAGTTACTCTGCTGTTCTGTAGCTCTCTGGTTTTTCTTTTAATTTCTAGACTCCTCTCATAACAGGAGGTCTTAAAAAGAGTCAAAGCTCAGGCCTGGGGTTGTGGCTCAGTGGTAGTGCACTTGCCCAGCACGCATGAGGCGCTGGGTTCAATTCCCAGCACCACATACAAAAAAATAAACAAACAAGCAACAAAACAAAACAACAACAAAAAAACCCTAAATAAACAATAAAGGTAAAAATACTGGAAGGAAAAAAAAAAAGAGTCAAATCTCCCAAGGACCCACTGTCATGAAACAGGGCTGAAGCAAATCTAAGCTACTACAAAGCCACCTATGTTGAGTGCACATCAGCAAACATTTTAACTATTTGGCTTGGCTACCCAGGTGCCTTATGGGAGATGACACATCCCAAGCCCACAGCTGATGGGGTACAAGGGACCATGGGAGTAGCTGAATGACTCAGTCCAGCCAGCCCAGATTAGAAAGCACACATGATAATCTACAGAGTGGAATTCCACAGCCATTCACACACCCAACCACTACACTGGCAGTGAATCTGGAGCTGATTCTAGAAGAGGTTCTCACCTGATAGGCTGCCCCCGGTCATAGGACTTCCTCCGGGACAGAGGGGACGTCTCTGTGCCTCGAGACTGCCGGGGGCTGGAACAGAGGGTCCAGTCAGGCCCAGACCCAACTCCCTGCCCACCCTGACCCACATCCCTGGCTCCCCTCCTTACAAAGTACTGCCCCGGGTGGGCAGGCTGACGGTGCGTGAGACCTTGTCTCGGTAGTAGGGATCACGGATGGAGAAGCCCACCCCATCTTCTTTGATCTCAACAAGGGAGGCCAAGGACTTGGTGATGTTCTTGGTGGAGATGTCCAGTGGGGGTCCCAGGCACTCAGCTGACACAGCCTTCATTTGGGCAGACAGCTTGGGCTCCCCCTGGGAAAAAAAGAATCGGATGGATCAATTTGCCCACATAGGATGGCAGAGGAAAGGGAAGCCAGGGGAAATCCTTAGCATGGAAAAGGTGCAGGCTTGGCCTAAGGAAGAAGAGCCAATGGAAGGACCCAGACACCCAGATATCATCTTCTGTGCTCCACAGCTAAACTCTCCAGGTGTCTGGAGAATCCAGGGCAACTGAAATTGTTTTGTTGCTCTTTATTAAACTACGCAAACCACAGAATGCCCAGACTGACTTCTTGCTGGATACCAGCTTATCACTTTACCCCCAAAATATGCATAAAATTCACAGCTTCTTGTCTGTGTTTTTTCCTCCTTTTTTCTTTAAAAGTCTTGGGTCTTGTTTCAGTCTAACAACTGATACCTGATGTTAGGTAGACTCCCTCACTGTTGATTCCTACACTGTTGAATCAACTATCTGCAGGCAAAATAACTAGACATCTAGGGTTAGGATTTGGCTCAGACCATGGTGAGGGTCTTCGGTGGGGAAGGGAGAAATTTTTGAAAATGGATGTGGGGATGTCACTAGGCAGAATGGAAACAGGCCAGCAGTGGCTCTAGTCACTTTTTCCACTTTCTACCCACCTCAAAAAGGATGGACTACACATTCCCCAATTCTAGGCTAGATTCTTCTTGGCACCTCTATTCCAGCTGGGGGCAATATTAGGGCACGGATGGGGTGAGCCAAAGTCACAGTAAGACAGGGTCCAGGCTGTGGGAGGCTGGCCCTAATGTACCTACTGCATGACTTCCAGTGGGGCTCACCTTGAACTTGAAATCATCATGGCTGGTGGAGCCTTTCATGGTGAATGACTGGGAGAAGCTGAGGAAGAAGCAGAGAGTTTAGGATCCTAATATCCTATTCTCTTGGCTCTCTGGGACTTAAGCCTGTGGGTCTCAAAGAGCCCCCAAACTCAGGCTTAGCCCTGGGACCCTGGGCAACTCCTTCTCTGAGCCCCAGGGGTGCTGGGCTCTCTCTCCCAGGTGGGAAACTCACCTCCCCTCAGAGAATTCTGAGACTTCCTCGTCTGTGCTGGCATAGCCATTCTCTGTGGGAGGAAGGGAGAGTGGAGAGACCCCATCAGTGTGGGGAAGGAGGGGAAAGGAGGGATGGCCTCCCTCCCTCCTACATCTGTACTGCGGGGATAAGACAAGGGCTTCTAGGGTAATTCTGAGGAAGCAGGGGCCTCCCCAGGGGTAAAGCCCACCTATACGCACCCTGCTGTACATTGTAGATGAGGGCCTGCAGTTCGGGGTGCGCCTCGGCCTTCTCACGCAGGGCATCCAGGAGCAGGTGGTTCTGGGAGGAGCCTGCCATGTCTGTCTGCTTCAGCCGTCCCTCCAGCAGCCGGATCTGGGCCTCCTTCTGTGCCACTTGCAGCCCCTGAGGGCAGGAAGCAAGGCCTGGAATTAGCCTTCCTGGCTTTGGGGGTATGCCCCAACCCTTAGCACCCATGGGCACAGCTTGGTGGAGGTCACCTTAGGATACACCCTGATATGAGCTAACTTGTGTCCCCCCAAACTCACAGGTAGAAGTCCCCCTCATTACTTCAGAATATGTTTGGAGACAAGGCCTTTAAAGAGGTAAATAGGGTAATATGAGAACATATGGGTGGGCCCTAATCCAAAGGGACTGGTCTCCTTTTAAAAAGAGATTAGGGGAGCTAGGTGCAGTGGGGTATGCTTGTAATCTCAGCTACTCAGTAGGCTGAGGCAGGAGGATTGCAAATTCAAGACCAGCTTAGACAATTCAGTGAGACCCTGAATTTATCAAAATAAAAAATAAAAAGGGCTGGGGATGGGCTGGGGTTGTGGCTCAGTGGTAGAGCACTTGCCTAGCATGTGTGAGGCACTGGGTTCGATTTTCAGCACCACATATCAATAAATGAATAAAATAAAGGTTCATCAATATCTAAAAAAAAATTTAAAAATGAAAAGAAAAAAGTCTGGGGATGCATCTCAGTGGTAGAGCACCCCTGGGTTCAGTCCCCAGTAGAAAATGTGCGCGTGCGCGCACACACACAGAATGATTGCAGATATAAACAGGGAAGACTGAAAACACAGGGAGAAGACTGCTATCTATAATCACAGAGAAGAGGCTTCACTTTGACTTTGAACCTCCTAGCCTACAAAACTGGAAGACAATAAATCACTGTTGCTTAAGCCTCCCAGTTTGTGGCACTTTGTTACGGCAGCCCTAGCACACTCAAGCAGTCCCCTGGACACAAAGCAGAGCTGAAAGGAGTCACTGGGGATAGGGTGAGGAGTCACAGAGGGCAAACTCTCCCGCCCTCTTCTGAGTCATACTGCATGCACACCAGGTGGTGTCTGTTCCCAAGATTCAAGTCCCAAGAGGGAAGAGAAGAGAGAAGCCCAGAAACCCCAAGGGATGCCTAATGTTCTGGGATAAACCCTGCTGGGCAGAATATGGTCTATCTGTCTCCTGCTTCTCCACCCCAATGTACACACACTTCTCCCTCTACCTCCAACACACTCAAGCCCAGCCTTGCTGTGGATGGGCCTGGGCCAGACACCCAGGGTCACCTTTAATTGGGGCCCTGCTGCGTGCCAGGTGCCATGCCAGGCCCTATACAGGCATTGTCTTGTTAAAGGCATGAAACAAGCTACAAGCCTGGTATTGTCATCACCCCAGTTTTATAGCTGCAGAATCCTAGGCTGGGAGGCCAGGAGGCTTGCCTTGGCCTGTGAGTGACGCAAACGAGGAGGAGTCAGGCCTGTGGGCTGCACTACTAGGTTATGTCACGGTGGCGCCTGTGCCGGCCGGGACCCCTGAACAGGTCAGCGGCAGGCTCACCTTGTCAATGGACGCCTTGAGGAAGTTGTCCAGCAGGAGGCGGGCTTCGGCCAGGGAGCAGGAGCTGATGACCACCGAGGTATCCGTGGAGTCCAGCTCCTCCTGGGACCAGGAGACAGAGACCCCCATCAGCTGAGGCTGCCCCTGCCCACCCATCTCTCCCACCTCTTCCCCCAGCCAATCCCATCCCTATAGCTACCTTGGTCTCCTCCAGCTGCATGATGGTGGCCTGGCAGTCGGTGATGCTGTCGTTGATGTAGTCGATGTTGGCCGCCAGCACCTCAATCTCTTCGGCCAACTCCTGCAGCCCCTTCTCCTCCTCCGGGCTCTCGGCCTGCAGCCGCTCACGTTTCCTCCGCAGTGCCTCCTGCAGGAGGAACAGCTCCTCCCTTTTCTGGGGGGATGATGATGGGGGACCATCAGGGTCTCAGGGGTCTGCCCTGTCCTGCCCACAGCTCCCACCCCAGATCTCCAGCCCGTGAGGGGCCCCAGCACCTCTGGATTCCAGAGCAGGCACCAGGAGCAGAGAGAGAGGGCTGGGAAAGGTCTGAGGAGCCAGAGACGTCAGGGTGACAGAGGATAAGTGCAGAGTGGGAAGGGTGGGAGGCGGGAGGCAGGCCCACCTTGATGAGCCTCTCCATGTCAGCTTCCAGGTTGACAATGGTCATTCTCTGCATGACAATATCAATGATCCTCCGTTCCAGGGACTGCCACTTGAGTCTTGCAGCCTTACTGAAGCTCTGGCTGGCCCCCTTCTTCTGGAACTTCTTTCTGGGAGGCAGAGGCAACAGGGGATTGGGTGTGACTCCTCTTAACCTCCGCAGCTCCACTGAACCCCCATCAGGAGCTGACAAGCCCTGGGACTAGAGCACTGGCCTCATTCTGATCCTACCCCCCATATTTCCACCTCTGGGCCCACACAGGCCAAGGCACCACCAGTCCACCTCACCTGGCCGGGCGGGTACCATTGACGGTGTTGGCAGGATGGTCACCCAGGAAGTGGTTGATCTTGCGGTTCCACTGGCGCACAATGCTGGAGACAGAGCGGGCCCCCGACTCGGCCTCAGATGAGGTGGTGCTGGCTGACACCTCAGCCCCCGAGTCCAGCATGGGTGGCTTCAGCCCTGCGCGCCCTGCCACCCGCTCCGACATGGGCTTGGCCAGGCGCCTCAATGCAGAAACCTGGAGGCAAGAAAGGGGGGCCCAGTGAGCAGGGTGAACTAGAGCTACACAGCTTGGGGGGTAGGGACCACCCTGTGTTAGCCCAGGGTCACAGAAGGGCCAAGAGGTCTGTCTGATGCGAAATGAACATAAGATCTGCCACCATTTTCCCTTTCTTTCTTAAGCGATCGGCTCAAGTATTTGGGGACAGAGCCTGCAGCCTGCCCTCTAGACTTAGCCCTCCCATTGAGAAAGCGCTGCTCCCGGGCCTGGCAATTCTGCCTGATGATTGTGTTTGCTGAATGGAGCAGGGAGACCCAGGGCCACAGGCAGCCTAGCCCCCCTCTTTCTCCCCCCAAAGGAGAGCAACACGAAGGCCAGGCATCAAGGACAGGACCTTGTGCTGGGACAGTCCAAGAGCACCTACCTCCTGGGTTTTCCTCCTCAGGACCATTTCCTGCTGCCGCTTCTGGGATTCCAAGGCCCGGATTTGAAACTGTGGGTCAGAGAGGAGGGGCAGGGTCCACACTCAGACACAGAGACCCTTTCTGCCCAGACTGGGCTGGGGATGAGCTGGCCAGATCTGCAGCCAGAAGCCTGGACTTTTCTCACGTTGGGTGAATCTCATGCAGCAAAAATGTTGATAAAATGGTCCCCAGAGTAGAGTTCCCTTTGCTGGAGGTTGAACTAAAGACACTTTGGCCTCATCTCCCACTCTGGGGGAGGCATCTGGGATTAGGGAGCTCAGCCTTGCTGGACTTCTCTGTTGGGTCTGAAGCTGCATGTTTCTGGTTTGCTGGTGACCCTGAGCAAGTTCCTGACCCTCTCTGGGGCTCAAGCCTTCCCTTGGAATATGTGGGGCCAGGCTAGGGGCCCATGGTGGTCCCGCCCTTCTGACAGGCTGTGTTCTACTTCAAGCATGACGGTTACGGCTTAGGGCAGCAGGAATTGGAGCCTGCTTGACCGGGAGGGGTGGCCAGGTGCACAGGGAAGCTGGGAGTTGAGGCCGAAGTCTCCTGGAGTCTTCCAGGGTCTCTCACCTCCTGCCGTCGCTGCTCCTTCTTGAGCTGAGCGATCTCCCGGTTCCTCTTGGTCTCCACCAGCCGGCGGCGCTGCTGCTCCTCCCGCATCTGCTTCATCAGGGCCACCTGGCTCAGGCAGGGCAGAGGCAGTGGTGAAGGTGGGGCTTGGAAAGGGGTGGCCCACGTGCTCCAAGGAGTGGCTGGCTCCGAGGATGTTTAATAGAGGTGACAGCCTGTCACACAGCACCAGCTCAGTGTTCAAGGGTCTGGGGCGAGGGGTCCGCCCCCTAAACCCTCCATGGAGGTTGGTACGATCCGGGCAACCTGCTAGAAGGAGTGGCCTTATAGCCAGCCTCGCAGTGCAGGGACTCCCAATCTGCAAGGTGCAACTTGTCCCCTGCCCAAAGCTACCATCCTGGGTCTGACCATTCTAGGTCAGCCGAGGTTGCTGGAGGCAGGTAATCCTCTCTCCATCTGACAGCCTGAGCTGTGAAGGTCGGGGCTGGATCCCAGGGTCAGGCTCATAATGACAGCAATAAAATTCACCATGATTTACTAAGAACCAGCATTACCATTCCTGTTCAATAAATAAGGAAATGAGCATCTGGGAGATGAGTGACAAATCCAGATGGTCTTCCTACAGCCCCAGGCAGGGCACCACAACAGTTCAGAACAAGGATAGGGACTGGTATAGAGTGCCTGGAACCCAGAGTTCTCCAACTTCTAGCCAAAGGCAAAGAAGCACCATTAGTATGGCTGGAGATGACCCAATGTGTTGGGAGGCCACTGTCCTGAGGCCTCATCATCTGCCTCAGAGTGCATCATCTGCCTCCCCTTCCTGGGGCCCTAACACAGGAATGCAATGAGCACAGTACTTCCCACAGCTTCTAGGTAGTGGTGGCAGGAGAATCACCATGGTGGTTGGTCCTGGCTCTGCCACAGAGGCCTCAGACATCACAGGAAAGTCACCAACCTGTCCTGCCTGAGGACAGGTAGGACAGGAAAAGGGATAGAAAGGAAGGAGAAAGATTCCAAGGCAGCCAGCACTATCAGGGTTGGCTTCTCCCTGGCAGGGAAGGCTCTGAAGGGGTGTCTATGGAGCAGAGGTGGGCTTGTAATTATGGGGTCTTTGGGGTCTAGAATGAGTGTTCTTCCAAAGGACTGAGATTGGGAAGACCAAGTCAAAGCCTCAGCTAACAATGGTTCTGAAAACTCTAGCACACTGCGAGCTGAGGCTCCTGGGGAGGAAACATGTCTTCCTGGATGAAGGTCCATCCACCACATCGCATGCGTGGTGGAGCCCCACGGTGGCCACACCAAAGTGATGGTCTCAGAATGGGTGAGTGCATTCCAGGTACACAACAGCACCGAAAGGGGCCTCAGTTCCTGGGAGAGCCTTGCTCTTAAGTCCTAAAGTACATGGCAGTGTGTCCTCTCCTAGGGGACCCTGCAGCTGCAGGTCCTACCCTATGCAGTCCTGTGACTTGCTGGGGCCTGCAGCTGGAAGGTGGTGGGAAGGGTCTAAGCCACTGGCTCTTATGGCATCTGGTCAGAATCCTTGCTGCTGCTTTTTCTGTCCTTCCAACAGAAAACCTAGGCCCCTGGGCTGTAGGGGTACCCCTGGGATGATTCTAGGCCAATCTTTTCCACTTCTATCCCTGGGCTCATAGAAGCACAGGCAGGTGGGCAGAGCTGGGCCTCAGCAATTCCGAGACTGAAACACACATATATGTATGAGGATCCTTCTATCTTTCAAACATGCCCTGGGCATCAGTTATTTTTCCAGACTTCAGAGCCCTAAGAGAATGTTCCTTCCTCATGAGACTCTCGAGAATCAGGCCCAGCTGAAATGGGAGCTTGCCGGGAGAGGCTGGGCCTGAAGGGGAATGAGCCAGGGACCCCCAGGGACACAGAATGGGGATGAAGAGAAAAGCACCCAGAACTGCTCTGGAGTTGCTACTGAAGGCCAGGTCACGGGGGGTGGGTGGGGAGTAGGGTGGGGTGCCACTCCACCTGGGGATGTCAAAGCCCACCCAGCCCTCCCTCTGCACCACCAGAGGGCGCCCAGGACTGGGGGAATCTGTGGGCACTTCAATGTCATTTGCATCTTGTCCACAGGGTGGATGCACAGAAGTAGAAGAGGAGAGTAGGGTCCCTGGGGACCAGCCCAGGTCAAAAAGGTCTAAGCACAGCAAGGCAGGGCCTTCTCTAATCTGGTCTGGTCAGGCTGATGGAGCTCCTGGACCTGTGGCCTAGGCTTGGGGACAAAGCCTGCGCAGGGAAGGTGGCTGATCTATGACAACAACCTTTTCTAAGAATCTATTCCAGCTATCCCTGCATTCATGGCCGCTTGCCTCTGCATAGTGGTCAGCACTAATGAGTCAGTGGTGAGGACAGTTACTGGTGGCTCCTAGAAATGTAGACACCTGTCCTATTGGTCCCTCGCACTGGAGAACACCCCTTTCCTGTGTATCTGCTCCCCAGGCCAGCTGTTGGGGTTGCCATCAGTAGTGCCAGGATTTACTAGGGATCCAGCCTAGGGCTGTGGAGAGCGAGGGGACACCAGAGCCTGAGGGTCAGGGCAGGAAGGTTCAGAGGGGGGGACATAAAGGGACCATGGATCTTTGATCTCCAGGCAGGAGCCAGACAGACTTGGAGGAATAAGACTTGAGCCCCAAACCAGGACCTCAGGGAAAGACCCCAGGCCCCAGAGACTCTGAGCCATAGCAAAGTGGGAGGAGGTATTGTGCCACCTGAACACACACCAGCTAGTGAGGCTGAGGACTCCCAGCATCCCAGCACCGACTCCTTGTAGCTGGAATGGCCTTCTCTGAGCCTCAATTCCCCATAGAGTGGGAGTAATAATAGGGTCACTTCATAAGGTTCTCCTAAGGGCCACACAGGGCATGCATATATGACTAGCGAAGGGCCTGGACCCAGAAAGCCTGCCAGCAACATAATTATCACTGGGATTCAAGGCAAAGGTTACACCAAATAAGTCTTGTACATGCCCTGTGCAGGCAGGAATAACTGCAGTGCTGCTACCCACTGAAAGGGGGCAGCACTGAGCAGGGCGCCTGGGTGTGTCCCCCCCAAGCACTGCGCCATCCAGGTTGCTGCATCCTGAACGAAGCAATTAGCTAAGAGGACAATGTGCGTGGCCAGGACTGGGTTAAACCAGGTAGTGATAAGTGTTGGGGGGAAAAATCCGCACTTGACAGCATCGATTATTTTTAACATGGAAAGTAGATTTGAAGGTGTGGCACCGTCCCATCTAGGCCTATTCCTAATACCCTTGGCCCTACCTTGGCCTTCTTCATCTCGGCCACCTCAGCCTGAAGCTTCTTCAGCTCCCTCTCATAGCGCGATTGGTTCTTGAGCAGCCGGGCGTGCTCCTTCTGCGCAGCCTGCAGTTTCTGCAGGTCTCGGTTCATCTCCCGCAGTCTCTTCTCATAATCCGCCTTGATCTTGTTGGCCTTCTCCTCTGTGTAGCACTCCATGGTGCCTGAGAGCAGCAAGAGGCAGCCCTCAGCTCTGTGTGTTCCCTCTGAAGGTGGGCTCATTAACAGGGGAGGCAGGATGCTTGGGTTCTAGTCTCACTGAGAGACGTCGGGCACGAGGTCTCGAAACAAGGGAATGGGGCTACGGATGCCCAAGGCCCCTTCCTGCTCTGACATTCTGTTGGAATGTGAGATCTCATCTTGAGACCTGAGGCCCTGATCCCTAGCTTCCCATGAGGGTGCTGCAGTCCACTCATGTGTGCTTGCTTCTGACCCATGATAACTGTGAGAGTAAAGGAGATGGGACTAAGGGGAAGGGGAAGAATCAGCAAGAGAAGTTAGTGACATGAGCTAGAGCAGAAGGACTAAATTGGTTCCCTTCCCTAGGTGCTCCCTCCTGAACTACCAACAGACATCTCAAACTAAACAGGTACAAAACCAAGTCCCAGTTTCCACCTCTCACTCCAGCTCAGAGGCGTCCTTGGTTCCCCTCTCCCTCATGTCCCCAACTCCAAGCACTGACAAAGCCTTTGGCTCGACCTTCAAAACATATCCAGAATCTGCCCATGTCTCACCACCTCCTGTCTGACTTTTCTGAATCTTTATAACAATTTTCTAAATGGTCTCCTGCCACCATTTTTGTTCTCCTACACAACAGCCACAGTGATGTTTTAAAAATACTTTTAAATTTCACATCATGTGCTTCTCTCAAAACTCAACACTGCCTCATCTGCAGAGAAGAAGGCAACTTCCTTCCCATGATGGGCCATGACCTGCTCAGGACTTTGGCTCTGTTGCAAGGCTCTTAGCATCGGTCATTCTGCTGTAGCACTACCTCATCTCCTTCCTGCCTCTGCTCAGTCACCTTCCCAGGTAGTCTCCCATGACCAACCTAGTTCCAAGTGTCCCCCATCTTCCTTCCTTGCTGTATATTTTAAAATAGCCCTGATGACCATCTGCCATTCTAGAGATCACACTTATTTTGTTCACGTCTATCTCTCTCAGCTAGAGTGTGCATTCCATAAGAGCAGGGGTTTTGCTCACGTCAACATCTCTAGAATCTAGGATAATGTCTGCTCCATAAGACGCATCCAGCAAAGACTTGCTGAATAAGACAAAGGAATGAATACATGAATAATAAACTGAACTGGGAGAAGAAGAGTGTAAGGAGACAGAAGTCAGAAGGTGGCTTATAGACAGGTGCCAGGAACTAAATGCCGGAGAAAAGGCCAGGAAGTGTCCTGTTCACCTGCCTAGGTACATGAAGAAATAAAAAGGATTAAAAGATCCTAATATGTGAGATGTTAGTTTTAAAAAGGTGAATTTAAAACATGGCAGAGGACCTGGGTGTGACATAAAACTTTCAACTGTGGCCCAAAGAAGCCAGCTGCTATGGGGTGTGCTTTTGACAGGGGAGGGGCTCAGGGGAAAGCAGGGGTTGGCGAGGTGGGGAGTTCCGGCCTCACTGAGGTTCTGTAGCACACGGTCCCGCTCTAGCTGGGTGTCTCGGATCTTGTTCTGCAGCAGGATCAGCTTCTCCTCGTACTGGTGCTTGAGTGTCTGCAGGCGCCGCTGGCTGTTCTCCAGCTCATCAATCAGCTTCTGCTTGATCTCGATCTCACATGTCAGGTCGGCCAGGTCCGCCTGGAAGTTCACCTCTGCAGGGTCGGTGCAGAGCCAGGCTCAGACTGGCAACAGGGTAAGGGCCAGGTGGGGAGCACTCACCAGTCTAGGGAGGGGGTGTTTCCTCATGTCAGCCATGACCAGAGGAAGGTGAAATGGTAAATCCAAGGTGGGCACAGTGCTGCCAAATATGGTAACACATTTAAAGAGCAGCCCCCAAAGGCACGCCTGGCCTCAAAATCTGGGAGCGGGTCTAGACATCCTTCCCACTGCTGTCGGCTCCAGAGGCCAACATCCACCTGTCACAGATTCATGGGACCCTGCTTGGGTAGAGGAGGGTAAAATGATTGAATGCACCTTGCAGAGCCATGGGCCAGAAATGGCAGCAAGACAGAGCTAAAGGGCAGGTGTCCCCACTTAGAGGAATGGGCTTTGACACTAGCCAGGCTTACATTCAATGCACTGCTCTGCCTGGACCAAACTGGGGAGAGTATGGACCTCTCTGAGCATGCTCCGTGGTGATGCAGGGAAAATAGCACCTATGCATGGGGTAGCAGTGAGGACTGGAAGAAGCCAGCACGTGAAATGCTGAGCTAATCACAGTGGCTGGCACATGATAAGCGCTCAGTATTTGCATCATTATCATTACGATTCTTGTTCTTGAATTCACAGCTGGGAGTTTTGAGCCTTGGATAACAACTATCTCAGAGAACTCAAGCAGGCCGATCCCACCCCAGGGGCATCTGAACATTCTCTGGGCCCATTGCTGACAGGAAGCCCGACCCTGGGCACTGGCCACAGGTGTCTCGTGTCCCCCAGCCCGGGCCCCCGCACCCTTCTCCTCGGGGTCTGAGTCTGAGTCCACCAGGCTCTCCTCGCTGCCCGAGTCCTCGTCTTCATCCTCACGCCCTTCCTCCTCCTCACAGCCACTCTCGTCTCGATCTTCCTCCTCCTGGGCACCAGGCACAATTAGGTTTCTGTGCCTGGCCTCCAGGAGGGGAGCCCAGAAGCAGAGGCCAGGCCAGATCCAATACCTCAGCTGTGTCAGGAGGGCTGGGGTCGGCCACACCCTCCCTCGGGAAGACTACCCCCTCTCCCAGTAGCCTGGGCACAGCCTCTCTGGAGGAGCCTCCATCCAGCCTCCTCTGGGATGAGGAGGAGGCCTGAGTGATGCAGGTCACCATGGCAACCAGCCAGAGCTAATAGGAAGTGCAAGGATCGATGAAGGCACTCACCCCACTCCACCCTATAGGAAGGTGCTGATGGGGACCCCCAACCCCAGCAGGGACACAGGAGTAAACATGTGACCAGGAGGGGTGGGGGTGGGGGTCCTCACCTCCTCAGCCTCATTCTCGTCTGTCTCCTCACTGTTTTCCTGTTGGAGTTTTGCCCTCTTTTTGAAGGCTTCCTTCTCTGGACTGCTTGTGGAGTGAAGGGGAGCCCAGATTAGGGGGACTAACCCTGGCTTGAGCATACAGGCGAGGAGGGTGGAGGGTGGGATAAGGAAAGCTTCCAGCCAGGAAGCACAGGGGTAGGGCTGACTTCCTGCTCTCCTAAAAACCCAGTTGCTCTTTTTTGTCCTGCCCAGAATTAGCCTTGTGGGTTGCGGGGGAAGTACAGCATTGGAGGTGGTGATGGCGGGGTCTCTACCCAAAGGGCAGAGCAAATTTGCTCCATGATTTCCTACACAATAATGGGGGAGCTCCTGGGGATGGGGTGTAGTGGGGCAATGGTGGTCCCTCCTGAACACAGGTGGGTCCATGTTCTTCTGGAAGGGTCCATTTGCAATTTCCCACCTCGGGGCTCTCAGGGAGGAGGCAGCCCTTTGCTTACCTCTTCCTCCGCTGCCTGACCTCCTTCTTCTTCAGTCGCTCCAGGTCCTGCTTGGCCCTGCGGATCACCTCAGAAGCATCCTCCATGGAGCTGGCTGGGCTGGCCCCAAAGGCCGGACCTGCTGGGGATGCTCCCAGGGAATAGGGGCTCCGAGCCGATGCCCTTGACAGGCTGCGGCGGAGGGACTCATTCATGGCCTCACTCTCCAGGAGCTTTGTCCTGCATGGAAAGAGCAAGGGGGTGGGGCCAGGTGAGATGTCGTCATCACCCCGATCTTGGTCTGGCCAAGACCTCCTGCCTGCTCACACCTTCAGGGGCTCACTCACCGCAGCTCCTCAATTTCCCGGATATAGTTCTGGATCAGAGCACCGATGGCCTCGTTGCCATCACCTGGAGGGCGGAAGGCAGAAGGAGCATGCAATAAAGAAGATGAGTGTCAGAAAGGACCTTCCCCTCTAAGACCAGTGACCTTGTATCTGTGCTTCCAATAGGGAGTGCACATGGACCTTCTCCATAAAGGAATCTCTAGCCAGGAAATATCTGTACACATGCACAGATAGGAAGCACTGTTGTAAGAGGCAGAAAGTGGAAACCAGCTAAATGCCCGTCAGAAGAGGGCTGTTTGTTATCAATAATTCATCATCACCTACAGAAAACCACGTAGTAGTTTAAAAAAAAAATTAGGCTGGTTTTAATATAGAGATTTATAAAACAAAATGCTAAATGAAAAGGGGAAGTCATAAGAATAATATAAATGATCTCCAATATAGAAGTATATATTCATATACACAAGAATATATTTAAACATATTTATACTTGAAACAGATGTACTGAGAAAGGTGTGGGAAAATATGTACTAAGTTGCTCCAGAAGGTTCCCTTCAGAGAAGCAGAAAGGACATGGTGGAATCTCAGAGGGGTTGGTGAGGGCACTTTAACCTCTAGCTTCATATACTGATGCAACACTTGCCTGTTTAAGAAGGATGTGTACATGTATTACTTTATTGTACAGAATTGTTTTAAAATTGGTTAAAAAGTGTGTGAATGGATCGACCTGTGCACTGGCTGGCTGGCCTGCTCTGCCTAACATTCTGGGGTGGGAGTGGGGAAAGGAGGGTTGAGCATATTGGTGCTCCAACTGGCCCTGGTGCACCCTGACTTACCAGCCTTGGCCAGAAGCAGGTTGGCCTCCTGGCTCATGAGATGGGTGACACGGCTGTTGATGGCATCGATGGCTTCCTGCATGGCCTTCACCCGCAGCCGCAGTGCCCCGTTCTCCTTCTGCAGCATGGCATTCTCCCGGAACAGGTCACTGTAGCCCTCGGCTCCATCCTCCCCAATCACCCGCTTGCCCTGGGAAAGGGCGCAGGCAGGGAGCAGTCAGGTACCAAAACTCACAGGGAAGTGGTAACAATGCTCTTCTCTCTGCCAGGTCACCTGGCCTTTTGTAGGACATGGCAAAACTGCAGGGTCCCCTACCCCTGGTTTCCTAAAATACAGCTCCTGTCTCCCAATGCTCAAAACCCCCAAATATCCAAATTCTAGAACCAGCCATTCAAGGCCTCCCACTGTCTTAGCTTGACCTACCTTTCTGCCACTCATGTTTCTACCTCCACAAATGCTACTCCAAGGGACAAAACCCTACTGGGGCCAGGCAGTTGTCATAACTGAGGGACTCAATTTGGGTGTAAGGTAACAGGGAGTTGTGGAGACTGGAGCTAAAACTCAGAGACTTGATCTAAAAGAGGCAGCCACCATGCATTCCAGCGAACTTTGAGCCATATGTAGTTAGAACTTGAAACTTTTCCAGAAAAGCTAAAACTCCCTGATTTTCAGAAAGGTTGATGACTAAGCAGTCTTTTAAAACATGTGCAAGTCAAACCAAAATCCATTCATATGCCAGATTCAGGCCATGGGCCACCAGTTGGTGACTTCAAGCACAGTTATTGTAGTTATATGGAATTACACACTTCCTTCAAAGCACCATTTTCTTTACTTTTGCTCCCTACCTAGAATGCCTACCTGCTTCCTCTTTGTCCTCCAATATCTATATCAAAGCCCTCCTCTATGGGGACTTCCCTGACTACCCAGCAAGCAAGACCAACTTTCTCTCCTGTCCCCCTGCAGCACAGTGGGTGACTGTGGTCTCCATGGTCAACTTATCTATCGAAGCACAGCATTCTCATCTGTTCCAACACAGCATGTTCAGTGCACATAAAAACACCCTGGACAGTGTCTTCCCTGGGCAGGATATCTATGCAAGGACTTTGCATTCTAAAGCCTAGAGGGCTCGGGCTGCTGAAATCACCTGGGTAAGTTCCTAACACTGAGCCCCAGGCCTGGCACACAGCAATGCTCAGGAGGCACAAGGAGTGGATGGGCAGGTGACGGGGAGGTGGCAAGCATGCTGAGGAATCACAGGGCAGGTGCAGAGCCGGGCACTGGGTTCAGCAGGAGTGCTGGGCAGAGCCCGGGAGAGCCTGCTCACCGCCTTATACTCCATCAACTCCATCTGCAGGCGAGCGATCTCAGCCCGCAGTGCGCTGATCTGCTGGCTCGTCTTGTCCTGGTTCACCACCACCTTGTTCTTGATGTTGCGGGCCCGGTTGGCGTATTTGAGTGTGTTGAGTGTCTCCATGAAGTCCCGATCTGAGGGGCTCACGCAGGCAATCATGATGGTCTGGCTGAGGGTGCAGTCAGGCCAGGGTGAGAGTGAGGGGTGCGGAAGCTCTGCCCCCACCTGACGCCCCACTACTTTAATGCCTGAAGGACCTGGGCATTTGGAAGGGCAGGAGCTGGGATGCGGGTCTCTGGACCACCTGGCCGAGAGTTTCCCCTGCCGGAGGGTAACCCAGTGAAGGGAGCTAGCCAGGTGGGAAAGGTGGTGGTGCCTAATTGCCAGAGTCCTCTGATTAGTGATAAGGATGTGCCATAGCCCCTGCATTTTTCTAGCATTTTCTGTCTGTTCTTTCTTTTGGGCTGAATGACTTCCCTGAGGAATATCTCTCTCTGTTGTGCAGATGAGGAAACTGAGTCTGAGCATAACTGGCCAAAGGTCATGGAGCACTTCGAGGTCCCTGCCTAATCTTTAGCCTCAGATGGGAAGGCCTCTTCCTCCACAGGGCCATCATGCATCCAACCTTCACCTGGGTGTTCTCCAAAAACCTCCTTGCCTCCCCAACCCCTTCTCAGGGATGTTGGTCATCAGATACCTGTTGCCCCCCAGAGAGTCCTGGAGGAGCCGAGTGAGCTTGGAGTCCCTGTAGGGCACGTGCACCACCTTCTTGCTCTGGTCCCCCAGGGCGCTGATCACATTGCCCAAGGCCAGCTGCAGGAGACAGACCCTGTGCTCAGGAGTCACTCAGGGAAGGAGGGGCAGGCACAACACAGTCCCAAGCCGTCTGTACCAGCCTTGCTGGCCCTAACAGCCCTCAGACCCCTGGATGGGTTTATAGGCAGATGTGCTAGATTGGTGAAATATGGGCGTTGGGGCAGGGGTGAGGCCTGAGAGTGGGCAGAGCCCCGGGAGGCCCCAAGACCTAGAAATAGTAGCTAGTTGTGCCCTGCCCAACAGCTGGCGAGAAGCCCCAGGAAGTCTGTGCAGCCTTGGAGTCACAGAGCCTTAGGAGGGTCTGAGCCAGAGCTGAGCTAGCTGCCGGGGCTGGGGACCTCCATGTACCTACCAGGCCACAGTTGATGGAGATGCCCTCCTTGGCCCGCTCACCCGTGGCCCCTGTCCGCTTCAGCCTCTCGGAGCCAGCCAGGTCCACAAAGTGAAATTTGGCTGTGAGTGTCTCGTATTCGTTCGTAGGAGCTGTGCCCTCAGGAAGCCCTGTCACCGCCTCGTTCACCTGTAGCAGAAGAGAGCCTCTGACTTGCCAGCCCTCGCCCACCCTGAGACAGCAAACACAGGACGTTCACACGCCTGATTCTCATTCATTGCTCACAACTCGATATAGGTCTCATTACCCCACTGCATGGAAGGGGTCGCTGAAGCTCAAGAAAAAAAAAGAAAAATCGACAAGTGGCAGGGCAAGCCCCAACTCTGGTTTGCTAGCTTGGGTCCAGGGCTACTCGTGTTGTCCTCCCTCAACACCCCCATAGCAAGAAGCTCCTGGGCCCCAGAGGGCTCCTCACCAGGTCGGGCTGGGCACACACACGCATCTGGCACAGGTGGATGGTGAAGATGGCATGGGAGCGCGAGCTCTGTACATTCATCTGGGTGCTGGCCGTGGTACGGGACAAGGCGCCCTGCTTCAGGCACTGGATCAGCTGGGGACAGATGCAGAGGTGAGGCCTCAAGAGGCTGTGCTGCCAGCCTCTGGCCTTTCAGGATGTCCTGTGCCTGCCCTGTACCTCCCGTGGATGCTCACCTCCTCCTGGGAGTTGATGAGGCGAGACGTGACGCCTGTGGTATAGATGCCACCATTGGCATCCTCGTGGATCTTGATGTTGGACCTGCGGTGGCGAGCGTCAGGGTCACGAGTGCTATCAAACAGGTCAAGGATCTCCTCATTGTAGAGCTGTGCCAGGAGGGAACAGGGCTGGGTTCATATGGCACACAGCGCAGGGCCCCCAGGGGGCTTCTCCTGTTTCTAAACCACCTTTATTTTGCAGAAGTGGAAACTGAGGCTCTGGAAGTTAACTTATCTAACCCTGGTCCCTTTTGGGTTCTGAATTCTAGGATCTTTCTCCTGGACAGGGAAAGGAGGGCAGCTGGGCCCTGGGCAGACCTACCCTGAGGTTGTACACAGTTCCTCAACTTTGAGGAACCAGTATCCAGCAGCTCTCAGTCCCAGTAGGTAGCTAAGGACCTAAAGGGACAAAGGGATGTGGATCCTAGAGAGCAGACAAGGAAAACTTGACGTGACTTGGGCAGATCTTATTGCAATACTGGACTGGAAAAGAGGGGATGGGATGATTCCAGATGAGGGAAGGAGGAGGCAGAGCTCAGAGACCTCCAGGGGCCATTCCCTGATCCCCATGGTTCCTGGCGGTTGACATAATGACAACCTCCCAGGGGAGGGAGGAAGGTGGCGGCTATGTGCCTTGCCCTATGCTCAGGAGGGAAACAGATCATGGAGAAAGGGTGACTGGGGCCCAGCCTTCTGGGGAGCCTAATGTGGGGAGGTGGCCACCCATTTCAGATGGTAGCCCAGGAGATTCCTGTGATTGGAATCAGGAGCAAGGAAACTTCCACTGACAGGCTGGGGTGGTCAACAGGCAGGGAGCTAGGACTGGGAGCGGGAAAGGGATGGGGGAGAATCCAGTGGGGCAAGGGGGAGGGGGACTGCAGACCTCAGACATCTGAGGCACTGAGGGCCTTAAAGGGACAGAAATATCTCACAGGAAGGGGAAGAGGAAACAGAAGGAGAGATGGTAAAGAGGGGGCACTCTAGTGTCTGTCTGTATTGGGACAGACACACTGCATCATTTAACCCCTTGTGGTTCACCCCTTGGCATGGATCTTATAGAAAACAGCCTCCTTTTGTGGATCCCCATGGCAACGGGATGAAGAAAGGAAGGAAACAAAGAGATGTGAGAGAAAAGCTAATAGCGATACCCCAGCAGCAGGACACACATGCGTGCGTGTGCACACACACACACACATGTGCACACACACAGAGGCAGGCAGTTAATCAGAAACAAAGGTCTAGAAAAACAAATAAAAATTCCCAAGCCTAAAATATAGGGTCCCCCTAAGAAATCAGGAAAGCAGTAGCCATGTGTACCCAGGAGGGAGTAACTGTTCTGATGGGTAGGAGCTGGAGCATGGGAAAGTGTGGGCAGGGCTGAGGTCACATATTTCCCTCAAAGGACAACCAGAGTACAATCGCAACACCAGGGTTTTGGGGTGAGAGCCCAGGGTACCTCTAAAACCAGCAAACACCACAAGGTTGGGCTCCTTGGCTTGAGTATTTAAATGCTGAGGATCTGAGAGGCCCAACCACATGTCCCGGAGAAACCTGGTCAGGCTCTTGGTGGAAATCATTTCTGCCTTCCTAGAAACCCTTTGGGAGGGCCCGTTCACAGTAGGGAGTACCTACACCTGGGTTACTGATCTGGGGTTTAGCACAGCCCAAGTGTCAAGGAGCCTAGAGATCTCATCCTTCGCCCCAGAAAGTTCCTGGATACCACAGTTTCAGGCTGACATCCTCCCATTCACAGGCAGGGCTAGAGGCCAAGGAATTCTCTTCTAGGGACCATTTTGCCAGGAGACCCAAGAAGACTCAGAGCCAGGAAGCATCTCAGCCAGAAAGGGACAGGCAGGCCACTTGAAGGCGAAGGAGGGACCCAGTGAAGGCCAGAGGAAAGGCAGGAACCAAAGTTGTTACCATGCATAAGTAACATGCTTCCACGTCATCCTCGCCAACCCTAGGGAAGTAGACATCATCCCCATTTTGCAGATGAAGTTCAGAGCATGAAATGCACAAGGTCACATGGCTAAAAAGTGTCAGAGCTAGAATCAGACAGGGTTTGAGGAGATCTCATAGGTCACTGACTCCTTACCAAATGATGGAGGAAACCCTTCAAAGCGTCCCACTGATCCTCCTGTCCTTGCCTGGGGACTTCCAGCAGCAAGGAACTCATCAGCTGTAGATGCCCCTGTGACTCCCTAGGCTACTCGACTGCACTGGAGGAGGACCCAGCTTGGGCGGTTTTGTGGTCTACCAGGTCTTCCTCCTGCCTGTCCCTCCTGCCTACCCTGCGAGAACACAGTACCTCCAGGAACTGAGCGCTGACTTTGAATTCAGGCCCAGCCACACCCTTCTCCTGAGCCCGTCGCTTGCGTTCAGCGATGCCCCCGAAGAGGTGAGCTATGGCCCTTGGGATGATGCCCTGCTCCTCCTCTGACGTCACCGTGTCGAAGCCAGTGCCCATAGTGTACGTCTTCCCGGCCCCCGTCTGCATTGGCAAAGACAAGGAGAGTGTTACCCAGCACCCTCTGGAGGCACCAGCGTGGAAGTCCCTCACTGTTCCCAGCCCTCCTGCTCAGCCAAATCCTCAGACAACAGACAAAACCATGCAGTTGTCTCAACTGCTCTAAAGGTGGGGCTCAGATGAGGGGACACCAAAGTCGGGTGGCCACTATTGGGATGGAGGTGGCTTACCTGCCCATAGGCCAGCACTGTGGCATTGTAGCCCTCAAAGCAGCCCTCGATAAGCTTGTTCACACAGGTCGAATAGATCTGTTCTTGCCAAGTGTCCAAGTCAAAAACAAAGTCATAGGTGAAGGCCTTGTCCTTCCCCAGTAGGACCTGGGGTTCCCCCGGGGTTACAGACGTACAGATGTGACAGCCCTCAATCTTCTCCTTTGACAGCTGGGGCCGGATCCTGCCCAGGATAGAAAAGCCCTGGCTCAGGCCCTCCTCCCTCACATTACCTGCCAGGCTTCCCATCAGCACTGGGCAGAGAGGAAGGGAGGGGAGGAGCTAACCGAGGACGGCTTTGGTAACACAGTAATAAAAGAATCATACCCCCAGACAACTGCTGCTAACATTTATTGAGCACTCAGTGTATGCTAAATCTATCTTTAACATATTTTATATAAATTAATCCATGTATTCTTCACTATAAACCTGTGAGGTATCTATTATTTGCCTGATTTTACAGATGAGAAAATTGAGGGTAAGAAAGTTCAGATGACTTGTCCAAGGTTACATAACGGCAAGTGATGGGGCCAGCGCCAGATCTGTGTGGCATGAACCACAGATGTGGTGCATTCCTATAATTCCAGTGACACAGGAGGCCGAGGCAGGAGGATTATGAGTTTGAGGCCAGCTTCAGCAACATTAGCAAGATCCTCAGCAATTCAGTAGGACCCCATCTCCAAATAAAAAATAAAAAGGACTAGGGATGTAGTTCAGTGGTAAAGCACCCCTGGGATCAATCCCTAATTCTATCCCTCCCCACCAAAAAAGGAGGGGGAGGGGGAGAAAAAAAAGAAAAGAAAAAAGCACACAGTCCTGGCTGGACTGGGGACCTTGGAGATCAACCCCTTCCGAGCAAGAATACTCTGCTTCTGTGGAAGCAAAGCTCAGGGCCAGGACAGGGAACAGAGGGCCAAGCCTGGTTCTGGGTCACATTCCCCCAGGTCAGGGCCAAGTTCTGAAGGAGGCCAGACCCTCTGCCAAAGCCTGTGGGGGCTGCAGGGGTCCTCCAAACAAACAGCCCCCCTCCCAGATGCCAGAGCCTGGTGGACAGTTACCAGGTCTGGCTCCCTGCAGGAGCTGAAGGGCCAGACTAAGCAGAATGTGACATCTCAGGCCAAGTTAAACGTTTCCTGCAAAGGGCAGAAACCTCTAGAAAGTACAGCAGGCCAGCCACAGGGTAGGCCTATCTCTCAGACACTGGGAGGCCCCCTCATACAGAGGATAATAAGTGGCATCAGGACTGAGTGGGGAGCCAGTCATGGGCAGAACTGTCTCCATCAGTTACCCCTTCTTCCCTTTTCCAAGTAGCCATCACCATGACGAGATCCCCATGGCAACCATGCATGAGTCAGTGAGCATGCGTGTGAAGAGTCTGGCTGAAAGCATCCCCCAACACCCTAAAGTAAAGGGGGGTTTAGGCTCTAGTGCCCATGGGCTCACACAAGTCAGCCCTGTTGGCCAGGCACTCACAATGAGCTGCTTGTGAGGCTCCCTCTCCCCAAGCCAACATTTACCAAGAGAAGAAAAGAATGAGTGGGACCAGGCCAGCACCCACCCAGGGCCCAGAGGCGCCCAGCCACAGAGCCCAGGGCCTCCAAGCTATCCTTCTGTCCCTGTCCTGAGCCCAGCCCCCCTGGCACTGAACAGTTTCAGGTGAACACCTCACTGAACTGTAGGCCAGTGAGGTGTTCACCTGAAAATGTTACCTGCACTTGGCTTTAAGGGAGTGGACTGGGGAGGTGGGAAAATTCCTGGGGAGGGGGCAATTATTTTCCCCTGTTGTTTCCACATGCGGTGTCTGGGTTTTCTTTAGAAGTGTTTTCTCTGAGGTATGAACAGGTCCTCACGATGGGTAGCTCTCCCCAGAAAGGAATGGAAGCCCAAGGAAGTTGCTATCCTATCCAGTTTTCCTGGGCCAAGGTAAAGTGAGAAACTTGCTTCTCAGCCTCCTACCTGAATTGGTTTCTGAGTCTTCTGTTTTTGTTTTTATATCAGGGATTGACACCAGAGGCAATGAACCATGGAGCCACATCCCCACCCCTTTTGCTTTTTATTTTGAGACAGGGCCTCACTAAGTTGCTTAGGGCCTTGCTAAGTTGCTGAGGCTGCCCTTGAACTTGCGATCCTCCTGCCTCGGCCTCCTAAGCAGCTGGGATTACGGGCATGCACCACTGTGCCCGGTTCTTGCTCATCCTCTCTGGACCTGCAGACCAGAACCCCACCCCAAGAGACCTCAGGGTCAGCAAGATTCCTATCTCTACATAAATAATGGCAGCTCAAACACTGAGTTCTCACTGTATGCCAAGCAGCGTCTGCACACTGACACATACTAACTCATGACAACCCATTTATGGATGAGGAATCCGGGATGGTGTCCTCCAGTGTCACAGACAGTAACGAGCCAGTTTGAGCTCAGGCTGTCTGCATGCATGTCCCTGTGATGGTCCTGCACTACACTGTCTATAAGGACCGGGGCTCAGAGGGCCAAGGGAAAGTCTCATACGCAGACAGAGGGATAAGGCAGTGCACAGGCTACAGGCTAATAGACAGGACCTCAAACCTTGCTCTGTCCTGGGCCTGTGGGACCTAAGACCAGGGCATTTCCTCCCAGGATATTTGGATATTCCCAGGTGAAGCAAGGTTCTGGTCCAAGCAACCTCTGAGGACCCTCCAGCTGCGTGGGCAAGCATGAGCTCCTGAGGACACCCTCCCCACGTGGCTGCCTGCGATGGGATTTCTGGATCCAGTTCAAATACCATTTAATTACTGCAGGCAGATGGCAACACTGGCGATTGGAGCAAATCGAATCAGCATCCCTAGAGACAGTGGGAGCAGGCAAGGGGGAGCAGCAGCCCCGCTGTCAGAGCCCTTCAATGAGAGGGGCAGCCTCGCCTTCAGCAACTAGCCCCTAGACCACCCAGGGAGCCCACCTCCCAGGATGGAGAGAGTCAGCAGGAGAGCCATCTGGAGGGAGCATGCAGACAAGGGCACTCCAGGGTTTTAGGGTTCAAAAGTTGTAGGCTACATTATTGGTTCACCCTGAGACCCTTTGTTGGCCCAGCACATTCTGACATGGGGTTCTCTGTGGTTAGAGAGAGCAACAGAGCCCCATGCTGGCCCATTCTAAGCATGAGGTGCTTTATTAGGGCACAGGTGGGTGATCAGTGTCACCTAGAAAAACAGGTACCAGCTGGAAGAGAGAGGACATGGGCTCTGGATGAGTCACTATTCTAAAAGCAACTGACTAGGAGAGGGAGAGACTGACAGTCCCAGGAATGGGACTGAATGGGTAGCTATGGATGGAAGCAAAGGAGGATGACTTCCCGGATGCGTTCCCTGTGCTAGTTCAGGGCCAGGCAGCCCCCTCAGGTTACCTTACTTAAGTGATGCTTTTAGAAAAGAAAGAAGAGACTCAAAGTGGTTAAGCTGCATGCACAGTACACAGTGAAGCAGGGCATCAATCCTGGCTCGAGCTAACTACAAATGCCCTTGCACTTCTCTGAAGGCATCCTACCCAGAAAACTCTCAATCCCCAGATCACTAAAGAAATTTCCTCCCCAGTACCACCATCAGAGGCAGGAGTCCTACATGTTCATCCACACAGATGCCTTCCACGGCTCGCCATCCTGGGGCAGCATTCCTCACCACACCTGTCTCAGGGAGAATTCAAACCTGGAGGGCTGGTCCTTGTCCAGCCTCTGACCTCTTGTGGCATATGACTCTGGACTTCCGCCTGGGTTATCTAGAGATCTTCCCAGTTTTAACTTTCTAAGAACAGCATCACCCCAGCCCCCAGCAGCCTCTTCGCCTGGTCCCACTGTGAATGACATCATTTCTTTGGGTTGCTGTCTAGGTGGCAGTGACCCATCCTGCCCCAGAAAAGAGAGTTCCCCTTAAAGCAAGGTGGCAAGGATGGGAACCACTTAACCTTGGTGCATGGGGAGAAGTCAGGAGTGTCTCTGGGCTCTTCTGACCACACCATGGGCCCTAGGAGCTATGGACAGAGCCAGGACTAGGGTGAAGCATGTGCCTTAAGCACGAAATTTAAGCAGGCAAGGGAATCAGACAAACCCTCAGTGATCCAAATAAATTAAAACAAAAGACAGGAAAACCCCCAAAACCTCAAATTGGCAAACTATGGCCCTTGGGTCAGCTGCTTGTCTTTCTGTCCATCATGGTACGTGGCCCAAAGATCCTGGGACATTTCTGCCCAGGGCCGCCTGAATCCCACCCAGGGTCATCTCACCCCCAAGCCCCACCCCTCCCGCTTCCCCCTTCTGCAGATCCTGCCCTGCTCCGAAAGGCCCCGGAACCCCCCAGAACAGAGCCTGCCTATTTTGCCACTTGGCAACCCGCAGGCTGAGCGGCGGCGCGAGGAGAAAGGGCCCGGGGCTTTTCAGAGGCAGGATCTGGCACCGGCGGCGAGGGCGCAGAGCTTCCTCCGCTCACAATTGAGCAGGGGCTGGTGTGATGTGGGGGGCGGACCCCCGCCCCGGGGACTCGAGCCACCGCGGCGACGGACGCGCGGGCGGCTGGGAGCCCCCTCCTCCCGGGCCCGCCCCCAGCCGCTCGGTGCCGCCGCCCGCGGGGGACAAAGGCTGCGAGCCGCGGGCCGGGGCTGCGGGAAGAGCTGAGCTCAGCGGTTCCTCGGCTCTTTGAGGAGCCTGGAGGACAGGACAGAGGAGACAGGGAGGAGGCAGGCCGGGGCGGGTGGCTGCTGAGAGGCTGCCAAGGATGGAAAACTTCCTCTGCCGAGGTAACAACTGGGCACATCCGGGCACGTGCCTGGAGCCCCACACCCAGCCCCGCTGAGTGGGAGGGGGAGGATGGGGACTGCCAGCCTCACTTCCAACCCTCTCTAGTGACATCACGTGAAGTCGGCCAATCACCCCTCCCAGGAACTCCTCCCAGTGACCTTGGGCTCCCAGGAGTGAGTTTAGCTTCTTAGATGAAATCAGTCCCACCCATCAGTAGGGCTGCTCCCACGTTCCAACTGACCTGCCAACCAAATCTTATCCCGAGGCCCCCAAGGGCCCCGGGCTCTTTGCACTTGGCCTTATTTCTCATTGAGGAGAAGTAACAAGCTGTGACCTTAAGATATCTATGAACTGTTCCGGAATTCTAGAAGATTCTTACAAAGATAATGCATGGTCTGTGATTCCTGATGCATCTTCTCTGTAC